GAATCTGTATTAGGAGAAAGAAAATAATAATAAAAACTCTGAATTATATACTTTTTTAAAATTCATGTAACTGAAAAGAAAAGAATCACATACTTATTTAAGTAGTATGAATAGAAAAATTTTGATAACCTTTTTATTAATGATCTTCATAGATAAGTATAAAGCTCAATTTTACTTTCCTTATTGATGTAATATTTCATGCGTATAATTTAACATGTTTACAGAGAATATCAACTTTCCATTCTGTTAAGAAGTAAGATATCATTATAAGAACAATTATACACTCTTTTGCAAAAAAAACTGAAGCACCAAAAAGGAATTTTGCATTTGTGACAAAATTTGGTATGCAAAAATATCTTGATCGAACATGCGCAGCATCAAGTTTGAAGACAAATGAACAGGAATTGAGATCATAGTGCGCATTTCTAGTGTGCAATTCGCAAAGTATAAAAACAGTAACAGAGGCAGAAAATTTATCTTTTTTTTTTTTTTTTTTTTTGTTGCTGGCATTGCAATTCTGTAAAGAGGCAACTAAAAATGCCATTACGATGATATCGAAGACCTTACAGACAACTAAACTATTTCGAACGTGGTCGCATTGTAGGGTTGCGTGAAGCTGGGTGGTCATACCGAGCAATAGGCCGCCACCTGCTGCGTATAGACACTGCTGTGCAAAGATGTTGACAGCAATGGTTGTTACAAGGAAACTGCTGACAAAATGAAGTCTCTGGAAGGCCAAGGATCACAAATACAAGGCAAGATAGGATGATTGTTTGCCAGGTCTGAACTGCCCCAACGGTATGCTCACAGAGGCCTTTAAGACATTTGCCTTTGACTCCACAACACTGGCGGAGTCGTCTGGAGTGGTGTCGCGGCCAATCATCATGGCTGTCATCAGACTGGCATCATATAGTGTTTAGCGATGAATCCCGCTTCACTCTTGAAGTAGATGACCACCGTGTTCATGTCTGGAGAGGACGGGGCTGGCGATCCCAATCAGCGTTTGTTTTACAAAGGCATATGGCCATAAACCCTGGTGTGGTGGTGTAGGGCACTATTTCTTATGACAGCAGGTCATCTTTAATCATCCTCCTTTAACAGCTCAACGATATGTTGATACCATCCTGTAGCCGGTTGCATTACCCTTCATGGCACGTCATCCTGGGGCCATTTTCCAACAAGATAATGCTAGGCCACGTACTGCTCGCATATCTTTGTACTGTCTCCGTGTATTTTGGTACTCTTCCTTGGCCAGCAAGGTCACCAGACCTTTCACCAATCAAGCATGTCTAGCACATGGTAGGCCGCCACATTTGGGCACCACAAAATATCGCAGATCTGGAGCGACAACTGATGAATGCCTGGCAGAATGTGTCACAGGATGACATTAGGAATCTTTACCACTCCTTGCCTTGACGAATTCAAGCATGCATTGCTATCAGGGACGGTTCAACCAACTACTAATTTGCACACTCAATGGTCGATTGTAAGCCGTGAACAGGTACTATGACCTTGACTTTTTAATCATTTTATTATCTGTATATGAGCTATATACATGTTCAATTTCATCAAAAACAACCACTTCCTTCATGGTACTTCGATTTTTTTCGCGAAAGAGTGTATTTGAAATCATTAGCGGAAATTAAAAAAAATTGTGCCTGTATATGTTCCTAAAGTAAAATGCTATGTAAGCAAATATTTATATTAACTGAGACTTGAATTTTAGTGTAAAATGTTTAATTGTATATGTAGATTTTTTCTCCCTCCTTTCGCTTCTCTTTAATCACAAACAGTTGCTTGATTTCAGTTTTCAGATTGATGATCAATTTGCAAATAAAATCAACAACAATCTTGCAACAGGGATGTAGTATCTGGCAACTGGTGATCAACAAAGCATGCTTGGCATATTTCGCCTCTTCTCACAACACACTGCTAGATTTAAATGAGTGGAATGTTTGCTGCAATTCTGTTATAAGTTTAAATTTATGCTCTAATGGTATTTTAATAAATATTCTGTTTTGTTAAGTGGTGCCTTTTTAATTACAAAGCCATTATACCTATTATGTCAACCATATTTACGCCTCTGCAAATAAAGAAATTCACGAAGGGAAACATGACACATTAATAGCATTCTGGAAACAATTAAACATAAGGCAATACACAGAAATGATTAAACTTGAATGGGAACCAATGAGTTCATCAACAATCAAGGCTTCCTGGCAGCACTGCTGGCCAGTTGTCTGCAATGTTAAAGGATTTCAATAAAATGAAGTCAAGGAAATTATAGATATTGCAAATGAAATATATAATAAAGGATTTCAGACATGGAAGAAGGAGAAATAAAAGAATTAATCAAGAATGAGGATTATGAAATGAAGAATGGATCATGTTATATGATATTAAAGAAGACAGAGCCTTTGACATATAAGAAGTTAAATTATTTAGAAAAAGGCATAGGAAGTGTCTTATTTTGCAATGAAGACTAACCCAAATAAAGAAAGAAGAGGACACTCAATAAGAGATATTCAAAAACTCTGCACTTCTTACTATGAAAAATTTAATGAGTTGCATCAGACAATGTCCCAAGCAAAAATTATTAATTACTTAAAAAATAATCATATCATTACAGATTTTTTATGTATGTAAATAGTTTTAGAAAAATTACACGTGAAATTGTAGTCTATTTTTGCAAAATGTAACATGAAATACTTGAAAGAGATGAAGCTCTGCCAGAAAAATAAGAGTACAGAAGTAAGCCTACTTAGCCTTCCAGCACGTACGCTTCGCAATTTTACATGAGCATGCATGCGTCGTATTTTTTACGGCATCTGTGTTTTTACCAGACAGAAATGAGTAAATATTGATAACGAATTTATTAATAAATAACATATTAAGCTTATTATTTCAAAATACACATGATGTACCATTGAAATGAAAGTAAATTATTAAATATTTAATTGTACAATTCAAAATTTCATCAAGCATATTTATATCAATTATTTTTAAAAATGATCCTATTTCACCCTCTATATCCTTGGCATGGCGTTTTAGGCCAGGTAACACTTTTATAATATTAATCTTTTCGTCGTTGAGCAGTTTGCATACTTCTCTTTTTGCCACTTAGAATATTTATTCTTACCAACATTGAAAATATCATCATCATCATCCGAAATATTCAGATTCACTGCTGATATTATTTATCTCGATAAAATCGCTATTATTCTTGCATCCAAAGGTTTCCTTATCTTCTTTTCCTTCATCAGATAATTCTGCAAAAATGCGAGCAAAATCAGCTGGTTGCGCAAACTGTTTTTGTCATGAAAATCGATATCAAAAATTATAGAGTAGAATTTATACAAATTAAAATAAACGAAAAATTGCAAAATATTTGAGAAAAAATATTTTCCGAATTTTCACCAATGACCACGCGTGTGTCGTAACATTTACGGAGAAACTGTCACATAGCACAAAGGCCCAGTAAAAAAAAAAATCATATGACTTTCCTATTGGCACATTCTATGATGTGGGAAAAGGTTGAAAGAAGGAATAGAAATCACCTTTAGATGTCTCAACTGTGATATGCGAAAAATGTGCATTAAAAATGGAATTTGTCGTAAACTTTACGCATAGTGTGCGTGCTGGAAGGTTAATATTGAGGTAAATGGCTAACTCACTAAATTGGTGAGATATGACCAAGCAATTAATTTTTTGCACCAAATTGGTGAGAAATCACCAAAAGTCACCAAACTTGGCGACCGTTTGGGAATATTTTGATCCAGTCTGTCAGTATGTGTAACTGTAATTGTTCTCTATATGTAACTGTAACCATACCTGGCCCTCATACCACCTTTGGAAAATTCTGAGACGTGGAAGGTACTACAGACTTGTCGGCAGCTAGGATGAAACTATATTAGATCAGCGACAGCATCAGTTTCTAAGTTTTTAGTTCAGAGTTCACTTCAGAGTGTTAAAAGTATAGTGAGTTTTGCCTTTTAGATTCTCTTTGCATTACACTGTGTTTAACGTACTCTGTGACACCGAGAAGAGCTGTATGAATATTTTTGCAAAAATTTCCAGAACTGTAAAGTGTTTCTTTTGGGAAAATAAACTTTATCACGTTATCATCAGTTCTGTGTGCATTTCATCCATTACGAACCCATACGCATGCAACAGTATATGTACCTATTTATCAAGCAGTAATGGAAATCCTTTCAATTAATATTTGTGTCATTTTCCCCTTTTAATTATACTAATATTTAAGTTTGTATAAATTATACATACGTTTCGTTTTATCTGTACTACAACTAATGCGATTTTGCCATACGTGCAATATGATAATGACATAACCCTTGAGTATGGAAAGTGTTTACTGTAGTTGAAACTTTCCAGACCATATTATGGAAATTGATCCTAACACTGTATGTAGCCTTTCAATTTACTAAATGATATGCAATACAACTTTTTGTTACAAAGAAATGTATGAGGAGAAAACGCCAATGAAGAAAAATGTGCAGATGTCAATCTGCAGTCTTAGTAAAATAAACAATCGGCTATGAAAAACAAGCATTGAAATAAATTATTTGTAATAAAGAAATCTGAATTTATTAATTGATTATATATATTAAATAACAGAAAGAAAACAATCTGGAACCACTCACTAATTTTTGTATCTGCTTAGTTCCTTGATTAGTCTAGTTTTGAATGAAGAATATTGGTGAAACCAATTATACACAAACTATACAATGTGTTACTATAAATACAGATTTAATGACAAACTGCATGACTGGCATAATTCTTGATGTATTTACAAAAATTGAAATATCCTTTAAAAAAAAAGAGAGAGAGAGAGAGAGAGATTCTGTGGAAAAGATTAAAACTAGACAAATTTTCATAAAAATTTATATGCATGCAAAATATGCTGCTTCTCTCTTCAAAATAAAAAATACATTTAAACAATGCAAATAACAAAGAATAAATTTTAAAGCACATATATACCCTACTTCAGCATTAAAGCCCGGTATGCAGTAAAATAGGCTACTCCAAGTGCAGCTCCCTCCTCAAAACTGAGCTTATCATCCAAAGGAAACACATCCTCTTCTGGGACCAAAGAATATTCTGCATATGTGCCATATTGTCCTGTTCGTCTGGAACAAACGAACACTCTCTGGCCAACCTAAAAATAACATCAGTCTAGTAAGCATCTGTTTTGAAATAAGACATCATGTTCAAATCAATTTATACACAGTCAAAACCCACTATAATGAATTTCCAGGTACCGGAAGTTTGATTTGCTATAACATGTGTTGTGCTATCTGATAATGAAAATACATTATTTCACAAAAAATTTAATGATCTTACCAGCCAACTAAAAAATAAAAAAAAGCTAGGAGTTTGCACGATACAGGAATAGTAAAATAGTGGTGTGCTGCTTTATATTTTTGAAATAGCAGTGCTACACAATGAGTCACTTTTGAACTGATTAACTCGAGAACTGATTTAAAATCACTTTATAATGCATAACTCAATTTATTCAATTAAAGTACAAAGTCCGAAATCTGAACTCTTTGGGACTTGCGGGACTCCAGATATATAAGATATGTAAAATCAATGATATTTCTACGTAGAGTGTTTCGGTTTGAGATGTATGCCAAGCAGATATGCAGCTGCGGAGCCAAATTATTGATCATACAAATTTATGCTAAAATGATTGTTTGTTCAATAATGAGGTATTTTATTTAGTGCTGAAGTGAAATTAAGAATCAAGATTCTCCACATGTTTTATTATGCAGGGGGGCAATGCCAGCCATCTATCAAATGCATCTCTCCACTGTTCCCTTCACAGATGTTGAGGCAAAATTCTGTATTCTTTTAGAAATTTTATCAGTTTCTTCTATTGCTTATAAATACCACAAGCGCATACTTTAAAAATTAAGTTAAAGGCAAAAGTTTCTCATTATTTTTCAAATTTAAAAAAATTACAGGGCTTAAATTTGAAGTACTACGGTATTCTGAATTAAATTTCTTGAGAATTCTGAAGAAGGTATACAGTCTGTCTCAAAAAAACTAAAAGGTTGTGAAAATCGGGAATACTATAAACAAGTAAAACTTACTTTAATTTTTGTTACTTTTTCACCAACAGCATGCACCACACCAGAACCATCTTTTCCTGGAGTATATGGAAGATCTGGCAAAGTAGCAAAGGCACCTTCCCGTATGTAGGTGTCAACAGGATTCACTCCAGCTGCTGCAATTTGGACTAAAACCTAGAAGAGATAGATGAAAAAAATTCTGACATAAAAAAAAGAACATAAATGAAAAACTTTCTCAAAAATAAATTTATTTATGAAAAGCACTTAGAGCATGAAAACACTTCTTAATTTCAACCTGATTTAAATAGTGGAATATTCTTAGAAGTTGTAATAACTTAAGTTAAAGCTCAAATTCAATTCGAGCTCAACTCCAGCAGCTTTTAGGTTTTGCATAAAAGCTGAATTCTAGCTGAAGCGAGTAAAATGAGCTCAGGTATTTTTTGCATAATTGATTTGAAATACAATAGGTGCCGCTTAAAGTGATTATGTATGTTATTGGCTATTTCAAAAACATAAACCAAATGATAATACTAAGCGTTGAGAGAAAAACATCTTAAAAACAGTAATGCAGCGTAATTAATTTAACCCTTAAGTATAGATGTTCATTTTCTGTTACATAAACACATTCTTGTACATTTGGACCCTCACCGGTGTATGTCGATAATCACAGATATGCTACAGTGTAGGTTGAAAAGAGAGGTGTAGACAAAGAGGCGACTGGCTATACAGAATATGCTAATTGCATGAATGAACGATAACGATACAAATAACTGGACAGAAGGTTTACCCTTTGTTCAATTTGTCAAGAACACTACATACCACAAAGGAATAAGTCCTTGTGAAGCCATGTTATGGCGTTAAAGCAAAAAGAGGCATAGCTTCGTCTTTTTTGCCCAGCGAACAAATCGCAAATATCAAAAATGAACAACAACTTGAAAAAATTGCCAATACTTTTGAAACCAAAGAATAGTTTGAAGAAACTGGTAATACTTCTGAAAACAATTTGAGCGGTGGTCATATCGAAAACCATATTCCAAAGAAAAAATATTGAAGAGGACTTGCAATCTATCATATCTTCACATCAAGTTCTGACTGAAAAACACAAGTTAATTTGTATAAAAAGAGCGGCTGCAAAAGAGAATCTTCAACTGCAAGCAACAAAAATGTTACGAGCCTCACAAAAACTATTTCATCCTACTCAAATTGGTGATACTGTACGAATACAAGTCCCTGATGTCGATCGTGGTCGTACAGATAACCGAAATGTGTTAGCAGTTATTGTTGGAATAGAAGACTCCGACTTCTATAAACTTGCAAACAAAAATGGTACCCTCAAGTAGCTTTATACACGTAATCAGTTCGTAATTTGTAAAGAAAAGTTACTTTCCATAGATGAGATTTATTTTCAAGAAATGTTGCTGAGAGAAGCAGCTGCAGCTAATTCGAGAAGCGGTGGGCAAGGCTATACATGCTATCAATTGCAAAAGGAAGTGTTCCACAAATAAATGCAGTTGTAAAAGCAAGGGCCTCTTGTGCAATTCAAAGTGTCATAATAGTTTAAGTTGTTGCAATAAATAAGATTTGAATCACATAATTTAGTAAGTTTATGATTATTTTTATTTTATTTTCTCATTTAGAACGTATAACTTCTATTATTTTCCTTTCTCATTTTGAATGTACCGTGTGTTTTAAGTTCTTATTTTTAAGTCTCAAGTGCATTTTTTTCGCGACTGAATTACGGAGAAAAAAATATAATATTCTTATATGTTCAACATTCACCATTAGTACATGGTGAATGCTGACATTTACTGGTGTAGGTCAGAAATAAGAGTATTATGGTGTAGGTCAGAACTAAGAGTATTAGGAAAATATTTCAGGCATACACCAAGTGATTATGTGAATGTTGACATTCACCGGTGAAAGTCGACATTCTCCAGATTTCGGTGTTTCACCGTAACATGTATACACATGCATACATATGTACACTGCAGGGAAAAAAAAGGAGGGGGAACAGTTCTATATCTCCCATTCTACTAGACCGATTGGCGAAATTCAATCAGCATTTTTCATGTTTCGAAAGCACGATTCAGTATGTATTAGGTACAGCATTCTTCTAATATAGCTATTTTGACACAAAACTGGACTTTTTCTGAAATAACACTATTCCCCCCCCCTTTATTTTGATTCTATGACTCAAATCATGCCAAACTGCCAAGTTCTGAAAAAAATCACCTGATTAGTTTCTAAAACTTTAGCTGGCACTTTTTCGTTTGGCCGGCGCAAATCTCGCCAAGCAGACTTTATTATCGACAACACACAGTATACACATAAATAACAAATATTAGTTATAAGAATTTTTTATTTTGAAAGCATAAACGTTTTAATACCATTTAAAATTTTGTAAAAAGACATTAATTTAAGAATTTACTATGATCTCATAGTTCAACATCCTGATTCTGAGGTTCATATCACATGACCCCAAATGATCTCTTCTCATGTAAACTACACTACAAAAAATCTAAGGCTCTACTCTTTTATGCGTCCTAAGATCACCAAATGTGGCGATATGTGTTCTGCGCTGGTTTCGGGTGTGATTGCGTCTTGTTTGGCAACCCTTTTGCTGGAGTGGTTTAATTGCTCTTTGGTTCGTGCCGTGTGTGTTTTGAAATGGCTTATGTTACAATGAGAGACATGGTTGCAAGAGGGTCTGGGAGATTATTTTTAGTGGTTGTGCATGATAGAAGTAAGGAAACGCTGATGCAGTGTATTAAAGAGTGGATTGAGCTTTGTACAACTATTTTTTCGGATGTCTGGAAATCTTACAAGGATTTCGGAAAAGAAGGTTTTGAACATTTATTTGTGAAACATAATATGAATTTTGTGGATAACAAGTCTGGCTGTCATATAAATATCATAGAGAGTACATGGCAGCATGTTAAAGCTACGTTCTGCTGTCCGAAGAAGCATCCATTATGGTAAGTGAATTTTATTTTGTAGAATGTTATGTTCATTGTTTTTTTTTGCTATGAATTTTGGTTGTTATTGTTGTTTTTTGAATTAGTTGTAATTAATTCTAGTTATTTTAGTTTATTTTGTTGATTTGTGCGCAATGCCTAGATTGTGCAATTCGTAGATGTTTTTTTCAGGGTTCGTACACATTTCTGCACACAGAAATTAAGTACTTTTAAGGACCATTAATGAAAAAATTAAGGACTTATAAGCAAATAGAACTGAATAAATTCAATTAAAAATATTATCTATGCTGAACTTCACTTTTGTAATACCACCCTAAAAATAAAATAGATGCATTATTATTATTATTAAGTTTGAGAATAAAATAAACTTTATGAAATTTATCAAGTAGCATTAAATATTTTACACTCATAATAAATGGACATATTTGAAAGAAGATAAGTGACATTTTATTTAGGGTTTACTAACAGAGCTTTATGTTGATTTTTTTTTTTTTTTTTTAAGGTCTCATTTTGTCACATACTTGCTCAGTCTAGGGGTTTAGTAAATAGTAAGTAGATTTTATGTCAAGCGGCATAAACTGAGAAGTAAAATCACAATCAGCATGATTCGAAACAAAAGACTGTTGTCGCCGCTCCTGCTTGCCTAAAGAGAGACCTGCTGATGAGAACAAACCTGAAAGACCTGCTGTACGCATGGTTCACAAGTTTCCAAGTTAGCTGGGCTCTGCCTGACGCACTTAGTGTCGTAGTTTCTTGTAGAGTTCTAGGGCTTGTAACTCAGTTAATATAGTTTAAGGTCCTAATAATCCACTAAAGCACCAGAGGTGACAACTTGTTTTGCATTCTTTTAAGTCTCACTAGATGCTAAGAATAGGTTTACACAAATTTTTATTTTTTGTGTTTTATCTTGTGACCACAATAAGGGTTAATGAAAGGCACTAACTTGCTTTAAAATGCAACTTTAATAATTTTTAAAGGTAATCAAATTTAACTTTAATTTTTAAAGGTGACCAGTTATAAGTAATAAAATTAGGTACTAGATAACTTCAGTCATTATGGATTTACATGGGCACTATTAAATTTGATTTATTTTTTAACAAAATTTGTTACAAAAGCCCTATTAATCATCACAATCGAATAAAATTTCACAGTTTAAAATACATGTAATTTATGGCATTGATTATTAAAGGATATTACGATAATTATACATTAAAAGCAACAAAATATTTATATTTTGTAGCAACAACATTCAACAGAATATTTATGCGTATTTTTAATTTGAAGCCTTCCCAGCCATTTTGGCTAATTTATATCCATTTCCTTTTCTTTAAGCATCTTTTCTAACAGTTAGAACTGTCTCAATGTGCAAGACAATGTTCTCACTACTTCTACCTGTTTTAGCTCCTAACCTGTCAACCTCTCCAAAATGTACCTATGAGGGTTTCTTGATCTGGTAGAAGTTAAACAGTCCAAAACCCTCTGGACAGATGTTAAGCAAACTATCGCTATGTCTGAAAGTAGCTACAAAGATTTAAATAAGCTTCTTATTTAAAAAGAACTCAGAACATAAAGGCATATTCTTATGCTAAATAAATCAATTACAGCTCGTGATGATGTAATTAAACAAGAAGAATTTATTTCAAACTAAAAATATGGACTAGTGATCTAAGACTATACAATTTAATTTCATTTTAAGCAGGCTCAGTAACTTTATCATCATAAGAAATTCAAATGTCAGTTTAAAAACTGTCTGCTTTGCATTCTGGTGAGAAAATAGAAATGGGAAATTATACTAAAGGCTGAAATTATAAACAACTGGGTAATTTACATAATAATATCTGTACATATCTTTGAAGAATAATTTCCCTTTCTCTTAATGTATTCAATTTCTTTCTTCCACATTTCCTTTCCATTTTAGAATTTTTGGATTTAACTAAAGATTTCTACTATTCTAAAAACACTAAATGCATTTAGAATGTATAGAGAAAGCTTCTAATTTTATTTCTTTAGTAATATGAACATTCAGAAGAAATATGGTAAGGTCCGGTTACAGAGCTGGTGTGACAGAATTTTTACAATTTAGTAACACATCGAGCAACAAAATCTAGAAATTTCAAAATTTTAAAATTTAGAACAGGCATCGGAAACAGAATTTAGAAAGGCACCAGGCATGAATTTAGGATCCACAGAGATTGTATC